TTAGAACTGCCAAGAAAACAGCTCGAAAATATTTCCCTATCATCTCAAATTACTTTTTAAACTTTCCTTTTAAACAAAAACCATGGTATTGAGGCAAAAATTTAAACTGGAATAAAATTTTAATAACACCCCGAGTAAATCGCGGACAGAAAAGCTTGATTTCCAAGATGTAATTGGCGATGATGTTCGACGAGATTGCGCATTAAACGGTGTTAAACCAATTCAACTATACTTATACCTTTGAAAAATCGCGAAAGATCTTCATTTACACTAGTCATGCTGTGCGTTCGCTGCGTTTCAGCATTCAACGAGGCATAATACACTGTTGTTCAATGAGATGCAAACAATTGGCCTGGTATTCTCAAGTTGAAAAAGTGTGTGTTTAAGTGTGGATCACGATTCGGGCGAAATTTTGCGCCAAGTAAGCGATTTTCATGACCAGTGCCAGGTAGCATAATAAAATATTTAAGAATGGCTGCCTGTCAGGATCGAGAATTGTCCGTCAACGACCATTTTGGTGAATTGCTCATATTTTGCTCAAAGATACCCTTTGATAAACTATTTTCAAAAATCATGTTTTTAAGTTTCAGCGATTATTAAATTTTCATAAATTTGCGAAAATCTGAAAACGCGGTTTTCAGGCTCCGGAGCTCAGGCTCGGCATGACGCACAGTCAAAAATTAACTGCAAAAACCAAGCCCCGTTTAAGGATGAAAATGGAATCAATCAACACCAAACTTCACAAGATATTAGGACAGCTATTCTCATTCAATTCTAGTGAGTGATTTTTTTGGGGCACATCGATTTTGGGATTACTTAAGCCCTTGAAAGAACATCCTCACAGACCGCGTAAAATGGCAGCGAAAAACGGGTGATATTTCACGCGAAAAAAATGTACCTGGTACCACATATTTTAGATTTTCAACAACATATTCGTGAAATATTGCTATTTTCCATTCATTGTGGAAAGTGTGATGCTCGGAATCGCATTGCTTCCCTTCGAAAATGGCAGAAGTGTTTGTGACTTGAGCGAGCAAAATGATGCAAAGTGTGTAAACAAACAACAAGGTAATTTAATCATATCGAGTTGTTAAATCTCCAAATTAAATCCGGCCTCTGCTGTGTCGGTTTGTAGCTCGGAAAATGTAAAGTGACAAGTAAATTATCCTGTAAGATATTTGAAAAGGTTCTACAAAATATTTTTTGGCTAGAAATCTGCAAGTGAAGTACATATTACATTAGCACCAACTCACATTCAAGTAATGCAAAAGATACATTCGAGAGAAGCTACTTAGTAGATTAGTACTTGATTCCATGCTGATAAATTAGATTTTTTTTTATCTTTTACTTTGAGAACTCATTTTCTGTAGGTTTAAATACATGGAAAGGCGACTTTTGACCTTCAAAGTAATTAAATGCAAGGCGACAGTTCTTGTTATCCTAGTGATTATCAATGTCACGCAACGTAACGCCATTGGAAACGTGTCGGGGGTGCTGAAACATACCCGCGTAGAAACCGCAAATGAAATAATTATGTCGTTAAATTATAGAAAGAAATCCTGCACCTCAAAATGGGCGGAAAGAAATGTAGGTTGAATACTCTCACGTCTGTCAGTTTGCATGTGTCAGCTACCAGATGAGTAAACTTCATTACCGATGTGAAGACCAGAAAAGGAAAGTGAGGGTCAATATTGGCATGATTAAAAGAAAAACAGAACAAAACGAAAGAACTTCTAATTACTCTACGAGCTTTAAAAATGAGATAACTAGTAACTGACGATTAGGAACGAGTCACCGTTAATTCGTTTCTTCCTCACTTTTCTATTCTGCTAAACTAAAGAGAAAGTCAGCATCACGATGACTTTTGGCAAGTACATTTGCTGACAATCTCTTTCAGTAGAGCCAAGAACGGGGCCTTTTTACGCATGGGCTTTGATGGTATATCGAGGCCAAGGTCTTCACACATGTGCTGCAGCATGGGTAGCTTCAAGATCTTCAAAGAGTCATTTAGCGCCATTTCACAAAGATCGTACTGATCGTAGATCAGGGGATGGTCAAGTTGTATTGACGCGACAGTCTACTTTGCTTGGCTAAAATTACTCTCCTCTTGAGCTGCTCGGATATCAGCCTCATCAGGATCTCTCTGGCGTACCAAGGCACTCTGTCTTGAGAAGAAGGAGGTGATCTGGGTGGTTGTGAGGAATTCCGATGACTGGAATAGTCGTGCACCATCGGTGCCCCGGGCACGCCGCATTTCTCGAGCAACTACCTCTGCGTCAAGCTTGTGGCCTGTCGTCTGCCCTATTCGAAATTTAGATAAAAGGTACGACTTTTGCTTTTCACTGAACCTGTAAGCCTTCCTTACTACTCTAAGAGCCCATCCTTCTTTCAGAGAAACACGAGAATCTTCCTGTCGTACAGGGGCTTGAAGCGATGGCAGCTTTCCCACACCTTCCTCCAAATACGATTTGTAGCCAATTTTTGCCAAGTCCATTAAAGAATTTTTTTCTGGTACCCTGGTACATTTTTCAAGTGACAAGTGCTTTTCTAAGGCTGAAAGCCTTTGAAAAACACGAGTGCAGCCGTCTTGAGGACATGAATACACCCCTGCTGCCTGGCCACGTTCTATGGAAGCTGTCTCTTCAGCCACATTTTCTTCCCCTGACGATTTGTGGGGGGTACTTTTATAGGAACGGAAATCTCCTGCAGAAAATGATGGCTGCAGAATCCCTTGTCCAGGACCTTCAAAAGATATAAGAGAAATATAAATATGACAGCCACACAGCTAAGAAATAATTATCTTGCATCAACGCGTAGCCCTCAAAGGCAGCCCACGACAGAATACCGTGTAAGAGGGGGTTTAAAATACTCACCCCTTTTTCTTGTGTTTTGTTTGTTTGAGCAGCGTTTTGTAAACATTTAATCTCTTATGGAAAGTCTTTTATGATGCATTGCGGATAAATTTTTCCCTTATTAATAGAAACCTTACAGAACAGACTGTCATAAACTAGCAGAAAGGCCTGGGCTCATTCAAGAACCATTAACTCACCAGAAGAGGATTTTTCAATTTTGATCACTTTCCCTTGGCCGACGGAATATGCGCGCCAACAGGAAATAGAGCCCACTGAACTAAACTCAAAGTTGTTCAACTTGGTGATTCCTGTAATGGTTTGCACATCGTCTGGCGTTTCTTCGATGGTATCCAGAGAAACCACTCGTACACCTTCCAAACCGCCATGGGATAGCAGAGCTTCCTTCAGGTCGCTGGCGGTGCAGACATCATGGTCTTCATTAATAAATGCCCTAATGTGGCTTTTACAGCTCGCAGCTAGTCGATCTGCAGCCCCTTTCCCGCCTTGCGGGTCGCTGAAATCAACGCGGACTATCTTCACTCCGGTGTTCGCTGAAATTTCTTGGTACTTCGTTAACGTGCGGGAGGAGTGGTAGCAGCCGGTGTTATCTTGCCTGAAGTAGGCCTTGTTGATTTCAGGATACTCTTGCTTCAATGTGGCTAGAACATGTTGCATAATCGCGGTAACAGCAGAACTTCCTTGGGTACAGGACTGAATCAAATGGATAAAGGCTTGCCACTGTAGCACACCCTCTATTCGTCTGTATACCACAGATATGTGCCAAGAAATACCCCGCTTACCAAACCAGTCTGTCTGTGACTCGCGGTATCTCTGAGGCAAGAACTTCATGGCCCAGTCATTTACAATGAATACTGTTCCAGAATTAAGGGCATCGATGACGTCCAAACGAGCCTGATCTTGATGGGTCGACCTCAGCAAATGACACTTCCATGACTTGATGGCAAGCGTAGCAGAGCTAACGAGAAACAAAGCTTCGTCTTTGTCTTCTTCTGTGGTAAAAGATGCTTCATCGACCGCAGTAGATATGTCGTTCAGGGTCGAATACAAGCTTTCACATTGGTCACAGAGCTCGTCATGGTTGTGTTTGCATTGCTGCCGCAGGTCAGAATCTTCGGTGTCACTCAGAGCAAATACACTGCAATGACTTGCAACGGGAGAAGAAGAGCTCACGTGAACCTGAGTGAAAATAGGAAACACAGCTTGACACAAAGCATGGATTACCATGTTACTGCAACATTAACGACAAAAAATATTTGCAATATGTATGCTTCATGTTATCTAAATCGAATAACCTCAATAATCTGAGAAGATAAAATCTATTACAAGCATAATTTATACTGATAAAAAACGAATACCAAGAGCAAAAACCGACGTATATTTCCCAGTCAGGGTGGACCTGTCATCGGAACGGTTTTTTCGTGCCATACTTCCATCCATTTGTGAAATAAGATCACCCTGCTTGAAAAGCATAATCCAATTTTCTTGGAACTCTTCACACTTTCGGTTGCTTACCTTGAAATCACCCTTCAGGTAGAATTTGGCCACCTTTAATGATTTCACGTATCGCACTTGCCACTCCTTTCCACGACCAAGCTCCCCCAATTGAAGAACCAAGCCTTCTAGTTCATCGAACGCACGCGCCCCGTCTGCTGCAAAATAGTCAAGGCCTTGGAGAGACTTTCTGGTCGAGGTCTTGCATTCATTAAGAACACGCAGCATCGTCCGCTCGCTGAACGCCTCAAATCCAGTCTCTTTGCAGTACTGGGTATACTGACGCACTATCCTTTGCGGTATCATGGTGCGAATAACATTGGGTACTTCAACCAGTTGTCCAGAGGAGAGCTTCAGTGTTTTTTGTCCAAATGGCAGATCTTGCACCAAATGGGGGCTTGTTATATAAGATAAAAAGTGATCCAGTTGTCTTGGGTCGACTCTTATCTTTGATGAAGGCTGGGGGGGCACTGAAGCGCCGCTTCCGTGCTGAAGACGATGCAGATTAGCTATGGTAAAACGATATCTACTTAAGCCAGGTATGAATCTCGAGATATCATTATAATTGGAAACACCACTCATCATCGAAAAAGAATTTGCCGTCTTGTGTCCCACCCATGGGCTTTGTCATATGCCTCAGCTAAGACCTGGAGGTAGCATTTGGAAGTTTCGGAGAGTTCGTCCAGCCCGAGTGCTTTGTTCATGGCAGGATAAGAGACGACTGCTTGCCAAAGAGAACCTGCACAACTGGGTGTTAGGTCGTGGAGCACAGAAGAAAAAAATCTCTGCGGTTCGTCTAGTATACCGAAGCTTAGTGCTGTCACTGGCCTTTTCCCACTCAACCCAAGGTTGAGAGACAGGTTCAATGTTTTTGGACACCAGATACTCGTTCAACTTTTCACGGGAATTTGGCTTTGAGGTGATGCTCTCTTCACTCGTTGAGGAGACGAGGCTTGCAGTATCGGGACTGAGAAACGTCTCGTCATCCTTCAACCCCTGGGATGATATTTCCAGAAACATCAAGTCCGTCTCTAGACCATCAGAAGATGACTCACTGCCAGCACTTGGTTCCTCTCCTGGACGGTCTGTTTCCATCTCATGAACCTACGAAAAGGTTTGCTCTATAAGCATCAAATCTCTAAAACCGATTTCTTTGTATATGTTTGTAGGGAATCAGTTTCGGGTAATAAACAATCTCAGCAGCACCAGGTACTGTTTCGGGACATCCAGAAAACAAACAAATGTGGGACAGGAATTAGCCTACCAAAGTGCGGCATAGCACCGCTCCCCTTCCCCACCCCTCATATAAAAAAAGTGACCGAAAAGCAGTGAGTTTTACTGGTAAACGAAGGAGCCTTGTCCCAGATTAACAACTGTGTTTGTCACGCTGTGTTTGTGTTTGTCACGTGTTTTTTTCTTCCTCGATTTTTTTCCAATTTCTATGCTCTTCTAAAATGACTCTTTTCCTTTTAAAAACAAGATTGAGATCATCAATTCATATTTGAAGCTTACCATTGTCTGTTGTTCAGGTATCTGCACCACTCGAGGCTCTTTAGGGGTAGACACAGTACTTGCTCCAGCGCCCTCCGCCGGCGTCTGTTCATCTGCAACTTGCCTGCAGATAAACTCGTCGCATCGCCTACAAATTGCTTTTATTAAAAAAAAGCAAAGTAAATAACTCATATCAATTACTATTTCTAGGTATAAAGTAATCAATCTGTCATCAATCAATGGATTATCAGCTACTCAGACGAGAAAAAAACGTTGGCAATATAAATTGCAGTTTCCTCACAAATATAAAATTTGCTAGCTTGAGAAAGTTGAAACTTATAGTGCTTTTTTTTGTGTAAGGTATTACAAATAAACGTGAGAAAAAGCAATTTCATGAGAACATTTATCAACAGAAGCTATTCAACTTACGCGACCCAACTGGAACTAAGGTGTTGGTGTTGCAAAAAATATACATCGATTTTCGGCTATCCACACGGTTGCATCCTTTGGCACTTGAGGACTTATGTGTCGCTAGATCCTTGGGATTGCACAAAGAGTTTTCCTAGTCCTCCAACGTACGCCAAAGTCTGCCCTATGGCGTGGGCAAATAGTCAGGGTAAGATGTTTTTGCTCAGATGAGAAAACACCTGTAAAAAATATAACACCAATTAAATCTGTTGCAGCACTCATTCATAAGCACAATAAAGTTACCTGAAAACACACAAAATCAATATTTACCGGCTCTGGCTAATAGCAGCTTCATTTCAGTTCTAGAACCTTCATCTGCACTCAGTCCAAGAGTCGATAGATGTCCAGTTACATCTTTCGTGCAATCCTCGAGTGTAATGCATTCCACCTGACCAGGATAATCAGGAGATCGCCCGCAAGGGGTCACCTTACCAACTAGCGTTATATAGCTACAGAGAGCCATAAAATGACAAGAAATAATAACTTCTGATGAGAGCACGTATGAAAGCTCAAGACTCGTCCGTGAAATAACTTTCCTTAGATCTGTTACGAAATTTCGACCATTTGCGCAAGAGCTTCGTGGGCAGTGATGACGTGACAGGCTTTACCACGAGAGAAAATTGTGTTTGAATTACAGCATCTTGGTCAAGATGGTGCGAGATGTTGGAAGCTCAATGAAAATACATCTGAGATTGAAGTATAATAGTGTTATCGTGTAGTTATCAGACCTTGAGTAAAGTTTTTGTTTTCAGTCTTTGGTATATTTCATGATGACAGCCCATTTAGGGTCTCATGTGGTGCGGCCAGTGTTTGTTGGGACCGGATGTCGGTTAATTATGATAAATAGGAACAATTCGCGTTAATACACTGAACTGCTTGTAAAGAATGCTGTTCTCCTTCTGTATTCGCTGGAATTCTTGATTTATACATACATATATATTTAAAACAAACTAAAACAAAGCTCTTGCAGATGAAATGTTTAAAAGTCATTCAACAGACTGATCAATTGTCACAATTTTCGTAATCGTAATACTTGTAATGGTGATCGATGAAATGACTGTAAGAACATTTTCGACGGTGATTTTATTTTCTCTCAGCTCTCACACAACTCTGAATGTATGACTTCACTATAACTCAATATTTTGTGGAATACAAGTCAAACATTTCCAGAATTAAAGTTTATTTTAAAACCTTTTTCCACCAGGGAAGGAATGATATGATTAGCGTTTGTTTACACAACACACATCATTTTGCTCGCTCTGGACACAAACATTTGTGGTATTTTCGAAGGGAAGCGGTCCGATTCAAAGCATCAAAGTTTACTCAGGAAATAAATAGTATCATTATATTACGAATATTAAGTTAAAAAATTGAAAAATGAGGTACCAGGTACACTTTTATCGCGTTAAATTTAACCTATTTTTTGCTGTCATATTAAGCGCACTTTGAGGGTGTTGCTAAGAAGACTTAAAAATTCTCAGTATCAATGTGTACAGAAAAATTAACATAGTGAAAATAGATGGGAAGGCTTTTTCTTATATCATGTGAAGTTTGGTGTCAATTGAATTCATTTTAAGCCTTCAACGGAGCTTGGTTTTTGCAGTGAATTTTGGACAATTTGATAGGCGGAAAACCGCACTTAGACCGCGTTTTCAAATTTTCGCCAATTTGTAAAAATTTAATAATCGTCGGAACTTTTAAACTTGATTTTTGAAAATAGTTTACCAAAGGGTATCGTTGGGCAAAATATGAGCAATTCATCAAAATGGTCGTTGACGGACGATTCTCGATCCTAACAGGCAGCCATTCTTAACAAGCAGAGTTTATTCAAGCCTCTAGCGTAACTGATCTCAAAACGACAAAAGGCCTTAAGCACTGCTAACAAGCGAGTCACGCTATGCGTTTGTTGCGTTTCATCATTGAACGAGGCATAATACATTGTTGTTCCATGAGATGCAAACAATTGGCCGGTTATTCTCAAGTTTAGCAAAGCGTTTTTTCGAGTCTTTCAACTTCTTTTAAACTTCCGAATTTTACTACATTGAAGATTTACGCTCTAACCTAGAAATAATTATTACTGACCATAGTTTGTAATTAAAACCTCTGTCGTTCCTGTTTGTTCGTTGCAACCCCGAAAAAAATTCAAAAGTGTTTCATAATACACAAAAATCCTCAAACCTCGATGATCTTGAACTCGTGTATTTTTCTTTTTTGTCTTCCTTTCTTCGGTTTCTTGAGCTCCTGAAGATGCATTTTCAGTAATTTTTTGTAAGTTTCGCTGGAGGTTAAGTTAGTTTAAAATGGAACAGAAAATCAATTGAATCATTACAATGTTACACTTACCTTTCCCTCTCCGCCTTTTGCTTTTTCTTGTGCTTCCCCATAGATTATGATTGAAGTATCGAGATTTAGAGAAAGAGCAAATCGAATAAACAAATGATATATCAATATTGAAAAAGACACTGCAAATTTTCTGTATACTGCGGCTTGTGTCCCTCCACGTGCTCTGAGTGACTGGTGCAGTCTTGACAGTTCCTGGCTGTCGTCTGGCTTCTAATTACAACTATGCCTCCACAGCTACAGGAGAATATTACTTTTTGATGCTCTCATTATGATTTATGGAAAATGAATATTTATTTTTGATTTTGGTCAGTCGCGAGTCAGAAGTGCCAGAAAGTTTGAAAGAGTCGAAAAGGAAAAGAGTATTAAGTATTAAGTATTGAGGTCGATACCTCGACCCTAGGTGCCAGATAAAAAGTAGCGCAGTTTCCGGTGCCAAAGCTTGCCGTGCGCCCAATTTGCTTAAAAATCCGGCGGGGAAAGCGGGCAAAAGCAAAGTATCCAAGTTGTCTACAGTTAGATTATTTTCACAGAAATTTACAAATTCCTCGATTAAAAGCAAAACTAAAGCGTATCTTTTACAAGGTAAGTTAATCTCACAGGACGTCCTAGCGGCCATATCATTATTTAGAGGTGTTCCAAAACAATCAAATAGCGGCCATAGTGATGTTCCAAGCAAATCCTGTGGGATTTGAAAGCTCACTTTGAGCAACGATTGATCACGTGAGTGAACTACACTCTACAGTGGTTGCATGGATGCGGGTGAAAGCCGCTAATATGATTTGAAATGGATTTTCAGCAAGTGGATTCTGGATTCCCTTTTAGCGGGATCCTGGATTCCAAAAGCTGGATTCTGGATTCCAGAGCCCAGTATTCCGGATTCCACAAACAAAAATTTCTTGGATTCCGGAATCCGGATTACCTTAAATGGGCGAAATTAGAAAAACTTGTATGTTCACAGATTCAACAAATCACTCGTAAGTTAAGATAGAATAAACCACAATAAGTTTAGGGCAAATAGAAGTATATCATAACTTTCGGCTGAACCGTCACTTAATGAATAAAACGATGTTAAAGGGTATGTCAGATTTCAAGTAGAAGCTATAAGGCTCATCCGACCGGAGCTTTCCATGGTCTCAGTGCCACTAACCCAGTAAAGCACAGGGCAGGGTTACCCCCCCCTCTCCCTTCTTCCCTTCTTCTTTGGAAAATTTCTTAAGGTCCTTCTGACAGTTTCCTGCGTCCATCCCTACCCCAGATGGAGAAAGTGCTCAAAGAGTAAATATAGAACTTCCCGACGAGGCTTAAATTGTCACCTTATGCTCCAAAGAAGGGGCTTGTTGTTGTATTGGTACGATCGCATGGCTCATTTTCCGTGCGCCGCTACCTTACTGGTCAGCAGTACTCGGGATTTCGATCCTGGGACCAAGCTGTCAAAATAGCCCAAAATAGCGAGGCCGGAACGTCTACGCAAACCTGACACAAATCGTGTTCTGTGACGTCACTCTAATTTATGCAAACTAAAGTGGCACGTGTTGGCGTGAAGGTTATCGATATAAACAACAACTTTGAAGTGAATTCATTCCCATTTTTCGGGTAAATTTGCAATTCAGCGTCCGAACTCAAATATATACTTTGCTTTAAGGATATAGGAAAAGATTATGAGCGATTTTTGGTACAGAGTAAGAAAAGGACGATGTTCGATTAGCATCGCGCTTACGAAATTGCAACGTCCACGCGGTTTCTGCTTACATTAAATTTTGTAAACAGTGCCACAGTCGTCGAAAAAAGTAGGATCATTTGCCGCAGAATCTCAAGGTTTTCACAGATTTCTTTGAGTGATAGTTACGCTGCAAGCGTGAAGAAAGATCGACTCTTTTCTCAGTCGAAGGAATCGCTGCAAGGAACAACTAGCTTTAATTTAATAGTTTCGCAGCACCGCTCGCAAAGAGTCCGAAAGTTGAAGGCGGACAATCCTCTTGGCCCAAGTACATTAAGATAGTGAAGCTGGTCTTCTGTGAAAGCTTTAATTGGCGGCACAAAAATTATAGTGACCGGTTTCTTCTAGAGGAGAGAGGCGATCGATCGCTGGCGCTGCTTGGTGTATCAAAGATTTTACGTAGCCAGTTGGTAACGAAACGGAGATATCGTTACCTTCGAAAAACATACCAATGGCCGGTCAGTACAAAATGCAGACTGCAAACCGGGTACAAAATGCAGACTAGGTACAAAATGCATACTGCAGACTGTGTATAAAATGCAGACTGAGGATTTAAACTGTTTTTTTTTTTTTTTTAACCCGAAAAGTGATAACATGTCATATTATCACTTACTATTTGTCACGCAATCGCTTTTCCGCGATCATCTTTCACGATCATTTGCACTATTCTCGAATATTCGTTAGTATGAAAATAAATAATCAACTCTAGCAAATCAGAACTGACGAAAGGATCGACAAAAGGGGTTAATCAATAAAGAGTTATTGTATATTTTTCTGCAAGAGTGACATCACGGAACACAATTAGTGTCAGGTTTACGTAAACGTTCCCTCGCCTCCGTTTCACCTGGGGGGAAGGGGAGCGCAGGAAGACTATTTTTGAATTTGTTTTTGTTTCAAGATTTCTGTTTAGAAATCGGCATGTCAGAAAACCGCTCTAGCACTGGATACGCATTACATTTTGAATACATGTACATTTGCTATAACTATAAATATTATCCTAAGCATTTTTGGACCATAAGATAAATTTTATTACATAGATTTAACACTGTTTTGGTCTACCTTGAGGACAACAAAGAATGTGTTACAAGGTGAAAATACTGTTTTATATAGAGGAGCTGGCTAAAAAGGCTCATATTCCACATGACTTTGTTCATGATACTGGAAAAACTTGGGTGTGCAATCTATTTTGTTCACTTCTACCAACAGAATGCCTACTGCTGGGCTACTTCCCTGATGTGTTTTGGGTGACAACAAAATTTTCATTACTTACTGATGGCTGAGTAACTCTTTTTCTTTACGGGTGGCATCTGGTGCATTGACTGTGATTGGTTTATTTGATACATCATCAGAAGTGGGAACACTCATGGGGATATTATTACTATTGTAGAGTGGTTAAGTGTCTA